GAAAAGATTTTAACGTGGCCTTTCAAAGGTGAAGAATTCCCATGATTCCATTTAATGATGATGATTCAATTTAAAAGATTTGAATTCCCAATTGGATTGACATTCGGAATCACGATCAATAATGCTCCAGGTCGAACTTTGGAAAAGTATGGTTTAGATTTAGATGCGGATTGCTTCTCAGATGTTGCGTGTTCCTGTGTCGGCAAACCAGATATCCTTGATATCTATGCAGAGAATGGAAAAATAACAAATATTGTGTGCGCACGAGTACTTATTACATAACCAAACACATATGAAACGTATGCTTTGTTTCGTTAATAATTTTACGTCCATATAACAGAAATATGCCACAGCAAAGCGTGGCAGGGTACAGCTAGTATATATATAAAATAGTACCCTGAAATGCCAGCTTAATAGGATCGAGCCCCCCCCCCCCCCCCCTAAATTTCATCCTGGCTATGCCGATGTATGTGCTGTAGAGCTGATGAGCACTGTAGAGCTGTTAAGAGGGATATAGTTGATATGCGCTGTAGAGCTGATTGACGCTGTAGAGCTGGTTTACACTGTAGATCTGTTAAGAGGTAATAAATTAGTATGCGCTGTAGAGCTGGTGCGCGGAATAACTTGAACGAATTGTTCAATTTTTCGCAATTTTCTCGACTTTATTTTCATTCTTTACTCTGAGTACCGCCTATGTGGCGAATATTTATTGAGTTACTGAGTCATATTTTTTATTAGAAGTGAGTCTGAGCGTGCGACACACTGCTGGGAGTCAACTCAAATGCTTCGCTCAGTGCTGAGTTACCCATCTCCATGGATAACCAGATATGAAACTCATTTTCTCGTGGGTGCGCTGTCAAAGTGTGTATTTTCAATAACATTCTCCAATGCCATGATGTAAACATGTATCGGCATTTATAGAGAAATTTATGGAGAAACTTTTGATTTAATACAACGAACAAAAGTTGCAATATTCTTCATATCTGTTTTATATTTCAGGGTTTATATTGCCAGTAAAATCGCGTTTAGTAACAAATATTGTTTTATAGTAATATTAAAAAATGCGGGCAGAAGAAATCGACTGCATTCAAAGTGATGCATTTTCCACACATCTAGTGGTAGCTCGCCATTTCGCGTGTCAGCTCTTTATCTGCCCGGGGATTGGCAGTGTTGCCAACTACGCAAACGAGTTCCTGGGCGCGCGCTCAGAAAATGAGGGAGTTTCATATCTACCCTGCAGTACGGGGGAGTGACTACAGGACTGCTGAATCGGTAGCTACCTAATAAACACCGTCAATTACCGACCGACTACTTGCAGTGTATTTCATCGATTACTTTTACAAGGCAATGTCCTAGGCGGTAGTCACCATCGGCTCTCTCTGCACTACCGGGAGTTACTAAAGTAGTCACTTGCGTGAATTATGGGCGCCCTCTGTCGTAGTTTTTCGCTATTCTGCTTACGACTGGTTCGACTCTGCACTACCATGTGCACTACCACGGGTTAATAGAGTAGCTACTTACTTAGGAGTCGGTGCAGTAGCGGTTCAAAAGTAGCGATTGACTCCAGCAGTACTGAAGGGTAGTTATCAATGCCATCTCTACTTCATCCTGTAACCACCCTCCAGTACTGCTGGAGTCAATCGCTACTTTTTAACCGCTACTGCACCGACTCCTAAGTAAGTAGCTACTCTATTAACCCGTGGTAGTGCACATGGTACTGCAGGGCATCGCATGCGCAAGCTGTTTTGTTGAGCACACACATACTGACACAAAAAACGAATACGAAGGCAAAAAACGAAAACGAATTTTTGCGCAACATTACAAAAAAAAATCAGCAAACTTCCGTAAAAATTTCGGGCTTTTAACTAGATTTCCTAGAAATACATGTTTTGAGAATGCGGTTTATAGCCCGATAAATTTAAATTAAGTGCAAGTTTAAAATAGCTGCGACTTATCGTTGATATTTAATATTTTTTTTTCTGATGAAGGTGTTGCTCACTGATGACACTGTTTCTAACTATATGAAGCTGATTTCGACATTTTGTTTTCATAAGATTTAGTATCGAAAATATTCTTTCAAAACTTGCCTAGGAATGTGAGGTTGATAGCACACCTTTTGCTGTTATAATGGTTCGTTAAAAACCTTTTTTCAACACTTACAAAGGCAAAAACGAGAAGGCGAAGACAAAAAGATAAAAAAAAATCCCGCTGTGAATTGTCAGAGCTACGTCAGAGAACGTATATTTATAGAGAAGGTCCAAGAACGAATCAGCGTGGAAACTGTCAAATACCCACAAAACTGGCGAAGCGCATTTTAAGAGCGGCCAGCCAGAGACAATCGAATTTTAACAGAGCCCAGCCAGAAGCAAAATCAATTTAACAGAAATTGTCTCATCAAAGCAAATGCATGTTTTTCTTGTTAGACGCGAAATGTTGACGACTTTTTACGTTTTTACAACGCTTTTATTGTTCTTTAAATTGGTTAATTATTTAAAATAAATGCATGCATAGGTCGAAATATGTAATATGTACATAGGTATTGTGTACATGCATATGTATGCGAGAGATACAATTTTGTAAATCTAAAATGTGAAAGTTATGCAAATATGTAGTATGCAATTGGCAAATTCGTTGGTGATTTGCCGTCGGCATTTGAGTTGAAAAAATCGACTTTTACTTTTTTACCGATTTATATGGTAGATGCTACGCTATTTTCAATGCAACAAACCATAGTTTTCTAGCTGCCTTAGTTTTTCCCCAAATTCACTTTAAAGATGGACACATTGACCAAAAAACGGAAATGCGCACTGTTTGGTGATTTGATGTCGGCATTAAAAGCGAAGACAATCGGCTTTTATATTTTTAACGATTCTAATGGTAGTTATAGGTACGCTATTTTCAATGCAACAAACTGTAGTTTTCTACCTGCCTTAGTTTTCTCACACATCCAGTTCAAAGATAGATACATTGACAAAAAAACATACAAATGCATTGATTGCACTGCACGTGTTAACTTCCAAGTTGTTTTTGTCGAAAAGTTATTTATATTGAGAAAAACTGTGCATTATCATTTTTCACTGCTATACTCGTATTATATGTAAATAATGGGACATATTCATAGTCGACACTAAAGTTAGTTACAACTTTTTCATATCACTTTCAGTGGACTAGGCATCTGTGAAAAAAAAGAAGCAACTAACTTTCTTCTTATTTGGGACTGACAAACTTAAACTTAGAGTAGACTTTATTTCATATACGAATATAGTTTTGGAGTCAAATGAAAATGCATTTCGCCATGCATACGTATGTACATACGTACTCCATTAA